GAATCTGCAGTCTTTTGCCAATATTAAGGTCTATTTCTTACTTCACTACATCCCCAGGGTCCCTGCTATGATGAGAGAGGGGAGAGAAACGGTCCCTTTGTTTTGCACGCAGATTGTACAACAGGTAACACACCAAATGCTTTTTGCCTTGCAATTCTGTTCCATAGACCCAAAGGCAGTGTGGTCCATGCCTGGACCAGTACCGAACAGGGCCAGGATAGTGGAACTACATTTCCATCCCTTCCTTATTAACACCTTTTCCTCTTTTTCAATTAAGATGGTCCCAGAGTCTAGTCCAGGGCAATGATGCTGGGCTCAAACTAGAGGGAAACAGGGAAGACTCCAGAAGAAGAAATATTTTTAAAATTTCACCAGCCCAGAGGACCTATTATTATTAGTGTGACAGTATAATGTGACAGAGAAATTAATGGACTTACTTTCCACTGTGGACTCATCACCAAAAACTAAGGGTTGTTGTTTTTGTTTTGTTTTTTTTCCTTTTCCCCAAGCAATTAAGCCTCAGAGTCCCGGAGCATTGGGTTTGCCTGGCTCAGGGGAGCTTAGACACCTAGGAACTTTTGGACTTGGAGTTGAATTATCAAAATGCGAAGCCCCTAGCAGGGAGGAGGTTGGGAGTGTTATGTGAGAGGCCAGTGGTCCCGCTCCCTGAAGAATTCCATACTTAGCGATGCAGAACAGTGGTGAGGAACAAGGTGGTGGGAGAGAGATACATTATGTGGTATCTGGGGCTTCTCAGCTGAAATCTGCACACCAGCTGCTTGGAGACCTTGTTAAAATGCAATTCTGATTGAGGAGTCCTGGAGTGGGTCCAGAGATTCTGCATTTCTAACAAGCTCCTAAGGAGTGTTGATACTATTGGTTCTGGAACCTCGCTTTGAGTTAGTAAGTGGGTGAGAAGGAGAAGGTGGCAGAATTTCAAAGGAGGGGCCCAGGGAAGTCTAAGCCTCAAACTTCATGACAAAGAGCATCTATTCCAACAGACTTTAGGAACAGCTGAAGACTAAAAGCCCTTCCTCAAATATTCTGGCCTATTTTCCTACAACCTCTTCGCCTTCTTGACCCCAGGGAACGGAAGGAACCCAACGCCCACAGAATGAATTTCCACGCTCCCTTGGTTTGAGGAAGAGACAGTGGAGGACCTTAAGCCACATTCTATGGAATTTAGAAAAATTAAGAAATGTGAAATTTTTTGAGCCCGTGGAGCAAAATTCATATGAATCACCCTTTCAATCTCAAAGTTAAAGAGCATCTGATTTGGGAATCGAAGAAGAACCATTTCTTAATTATTCAACGAACACACTTTAGGGGACTATGAATGGATTTCCCTAAACCCTGATGTGGGGCATTCTGGGGCTTCCGACAAAGAGAAAGTCCTTGAAGGCAGCGAGTGCCCCCAAAAGAGCTGAGGAATTTACAGTCCTTATCAGTCAATGATTTGGCTGTGGTCACCAAAGAAAATGGCCCTTCCTCTACACAAACTCTTCAAATTCCCCTTTGAGATTTTTTTCCTCCTTCAAGTCCTTGCTCTTCATTTAAACATGATTTCACCAGTACAAACATGCTCAGGAGAAAGACCCAGTTTGATTTTCTTCTGCCAGCATCTTCCAAAGATAGCCTTGCATCCCATTCTCTCATAAGAACAAATCTTAAAAATAAACTAAGGCAGTAAGTGCTGTGTCCAAAGCCAAGTTTGTTCCAAAGCTGAGAGTAATAAAATCCAGGGCTCCCTTCCCCTAAGTCAATTTTAAGAGCAAATGCTTTTCGTTGGTAATTTTGTTTGTAACTTCTGATCCTGCCATCTCTAGGACCTACGGTTTTATTAAAGCATTTCCAAACCCGGTTCTGATTACATAAGAAAAGTTTGTGCCTGTGCTCATCAGTGGCACAATTCACATGGAGCTACCGGCTTCATTTATCATTATTTCTCCAGAATGTCTACAATCTAGGCAGAAGGTCAGAAGGAATGACTGTGTCTTCTGCCCGATCATCTGTATTTCAGAAAGAAAAAGTCACAAAATGATCCAACATTTGTGCTTAACCAGCAGTTCTTTTTTTTTTTTTTAATTAGGTGCCAATGTTTAACATAGAGTAATTTCACATAAAAATCTAAATTTTTGATGGCCCTCAAAAAAATTGTACACCCTGGCAACTTATGGATGCCATTCCTCATGGCTGAATATTGGCCTGCCCATTTCACAAATGCCAATACTGAGGACCAAAGACATATTAAGTAACTTGCCTTAAGGGCTATGCCTTTAATTAATTCAATTAATAACAAAACCAGAAACACACAAAACCGCACAGACACACATTAAATGGACACCTCTGTTTTTCCGGCGTATGCGTGTGAGTACCCATTCTCTGTCTTAGAAAGTGATGGCAAGCTCCAGGACTAAGAAGCGGTGGGAGTGGAGGGCAGTGGTTCTCAAACTCCAGTGCATCAGAATCCCCTGGAGGGCCTGTTACAGCACAGATGGCTGGGTCCACCCCCAGAGTTTCAGATTCAGTGGGTTTGGGGTAGGGACAAGAATAATTAACATTTCTAACAAGTTCCCAGGGGATGCTGCTGCTGCTGCTAGTCCAGGGACCACACTCGCTGAGCTCGCTAAGAATTTGGGCTCTTGTCTTGGTTAGATCCAGTTGTGACCATTATACCAAGTCAGAAAACCTACTAAACGTTTGGGCAAGTTACTTAACAAGTCTATGAAATGGAGCTAACGATAGTGGCTTAGGCTTACTACAACTGAGTGAGTATAATAAATGTAAAGCAAAGTACATAGAACAGTGTCTGGCCCCTAGCAACTGTCTAAGAAGTATTAGTTATTATCGCTCATTCCTTCATGGAACAATTATTGATTGATTGTTTCCTCTGAGCCATGAACCAGGCACTAGGAATATAGTGGCGAATGAATCAATGCCTTGCCTCCCAATGAGCTTACCATCCACTGGGGAGGCACACAACACATGACCTTGTAAATATATAAGATAATGCCACACAGAAGAATTCTGCGTTCCAAGCAAACCGAAGAGCAGTTGCACACAGAATTTTATGAGAACTCGGTCTAGTCTCAGTCACATCTTCCAGCTCAAAGAGCTGGTGGCACCGTGTTTCTAAGACAAAGGCCCCTTAGCAAAATGACTATATATACATCATTAATTTTTTATTACATAGACTTACAATATATTTTACATTGTATATGTAATATTGATATATATGTTTTATATATCAATAACATTTATGTATAATAAATATATTTTGTGTTTTAAATATTTTATATTTTTATATTCATATTTATATTTTATATATCCTAGGAATGGCCCCCATGATTATGGAGGCCAAGAAGTTCCAGAATGTGCTCTCTGCAAGCTGGAGACCCAGGAGCCAGAGGTGTAATTCAGTCTGAATCCAAAGGCCTCAGAAAAAAGAGCACTGGTGTCCGAGGGCAGGAGAAGATGGATACCCACCCCAGCTCAAAAAGAGAGCCAATTCGCCCTTCCTCTGCCTTTCCATTCTCTTCAGGCCCTCCGTGGACTGGATGATGCCCACTAGCACCCGCGAGGCCCTCCTCGCTCAGTCCACCGATTCCAACGCCGACCACTTTCAGAAACACCCTCCGAGACACAGCCCCGGCATAATATGTTACCAGCTCTCTGGGCGTCCAGAGTCCAGTCACGTGGACGCATGAAATCAGCCCTCGCGGGTATAGTCACACCAGCCGATTCTTGAGTAGGTTTTGCCTGAGAGGAAACATTTGAAACAAGAACAGGGTGGGTGGAGAGTGTGCTGGAAGGGGAGGAGAGAGTAAGGCGGCAATGTGCCGGCTGCTTTACACGTGCTGTTTGATCCTGGCAGGTACCTTTGGAGTAGAGATTACAGGACGAGGAGAGAAGCCAGCTACCCAAGGCCCAGTGGCAAAGGGGCAGACGAAGGATCTGAACACGCAGAGTCCCAGCTGGCCACGGTCATACCACAGGCCACAGATGACCCTCTCCGCTTCCGAATTTCCAGGCAGGGGCTAGCGTGAAGTATGACTTCCCTCCTGTATTTGCCTCACTGCCCCTCTACTCTGCTCCTAGAGCAGCCGCTTCTGATTCAGAACCCTTCTGACCCCAGGCCAGCCTCCTCTTTTCTCCCTATTGTCTTTCTCACAAATTTAAAAAAAAAAAAAAAAAAAAAAAAAGCTTTATTATGGATAAAGTATGTAATCTGTAAAATGCAATACATACTCGTCATACTCATGGCTGGGAAATACAGACCAACAAAGTAGAAAAAAATAAAAGTGGTCCAAAACCATCTCATTGCAGAAAAAGGCACTAAAATGTTAATACCCGTTCCCCTATCTTCAGATCCTAGGGATCCTGTCCTCTGTGCTTAGTAGCTAGCCCTTTCCAGTTACACCTTATTAAACTAACTGGGAGTTTGGTTTTGGTCTTTACTCTGGGGTTGCTCCTGGAGCTTGGCTCTCCGTATTGTGTTGGGTGAGGGGCATGGACTTGGGAGGTAGACCGGAGTTGTGCGTGTTTGGAGTTGTTTATCGATTCGAAGTACTCACCTCCCAGCTTATTTCGAGCCTTTTTTTTTTTTTTTTCCCTAGGGCATCTATATTCAAGAACTGGCCCCGTCATTTCGGGTTGTTTTCCCTCGGGGTTTTTCAGCGCTGGGGGTTCTCTGTTCCTTCGAACTCTAAGTGTTTGAACTTTGGGGGTAGCTGGAACTGGCTTTCGCCGTGGGACTTTAGTTTGTAACGATGACTGGCCGCTGCAGGGGGTGACCCGGCCTCTCTTGCTTCCCGCGGCCTCAGGAAGCCCCGCCGCACGGGCGAAAGGGCAGCGCTGGGCTGAAAGGGCTGACCAGGAGGGAGTCGGGCACCCAGCGCCTCCCGGTAACCTAGTAACCGGCGCCTTGGCAACGGAGAGGGGGCGGGACCTAGGGAGGAAGTCGGAAGCTGGAGGCTACATCTCGCGAGAGTTCTTTTTGCGCGCGAACTCTAAGTGCCGGAGTGCCTGGGCCCGCGCGCGGCTAGTGACTGTGCAGGTCACCGGGCCCCGCGGCGACCCCAGCGGACCTGGACACCTTTATCACCCCGCCATGGAGACCTCAGCGCAGCAGGAGCAGCAGCAGCCTGTGGCGGCCAAGATCAGAAACCTGCCCTGGTAGGAGGAGGCCCGTCTGCCGCGGCAAAGGGGATCGGTGGCCGGGGTGGGCCGGCGGCCAGGCCGCCGCGCGCCGGACCTCGTCCTGCCACCCCCGACCTGGCCCGGACGGAGTCCCAGATTTTCGCCTTGACATCCCCAGCTCCCCAGCCCCCTCCGTTCTTCTAAGACGTTTGCCAGGTCTTCCCGCTGCCCTACTCCCATCGCCCCCATTCCTTTTACGCGCTGCGGGTGACAGCACTGGGGTTAGATCCCGCATCTTCTGACTTTGTATCGGCCTCCGTGCCAAAATGCTCTCTACTCTTGCCGGGATCTCCGATGCAATTATTGCTCAAATTCTAAACTGAAATGATCATGATGATAATAACGCTTCCCAGTTAAGTTGTATTTAAATGGCTTCTTATTAGATTAGCAGAGACCCTGTTAGATGTTCTACCTTTACAAAGACCCTAGAAGGGAGGTAGTTATTATTCTACTTGTAAACCCAAAAGGTTAAAGGACTTGCCTCAGGCCCGGAGCTAGAAACAGGTTGGGATTTGAACCCAGGCGAAGTGAGAGCTTGCACTCGTAACCATCCTACTTTCATAGTTGCCTCTGAATGTTGTTTTAGAAACTGATGGGATCTGTCCTGATGTCTTTGAAAGCTCCAAGTTAGTCTTGTCTAAGAAGGAGTTCAGTTTGTTTTTATCGTGGAAAAAACACATAACATACCGTTTACAGTTGTAAAACATTGTAAAGGGTATAATTCTGTGACTTTAAGTACTTTGAGAATGTTGTGCTACCGTGTCACTCTCTAGTTCCCAAATTTTTCATTTTACCGCAGATGGAAACTCCATACTTATGGGCAATTACTGTCCATCCCCACCCTCCCCTTCCTGCACTGCTAATCTCCTGTCTCTGAATTTGCCCATTGTGGCTGGTCATATAAATAGAATCGGTATGTGGCCTTTGGAGATGCGGCTTTCACAGCATCATGTTTTCGGGGTTCATCATGTAGTGGGTGTGGGTGCTTCATTCCTTTTTATGGGTGGATAATCCGTTGTATGGATCGACCACCACTTACTTGCCCGTTCATCTTCTGATGTATATGTCTGATGTCAATCTTGTTAAAAGATTTTATTTATTTATTTGAGAAAGGGAGAGCGAGCGCGAGCATGAGGGGGAGAAGCAGACTCCCTGCTAAGCAGGGAGCCCAAGGCAGGAAAAAATCCCAGGACCCTGAGATTAGGAATTGAGCCAAAGGCAGATGCTTAACCGACTGAGCCACCCAGGTTCCCCAGTGAGTTCAGTTTTTAATTTACTTTGAAATAGTAGGTGCCCATCCAGGTTGAGATTATTTATAGGCAGATAGCTGGAAAGGTAAAATGAGAGCAGTGCTGTGGGCATCTTGGGCTATAACCTTGCTGGGGCCAGGCGTGGTGGCTCCCCTGTGCATTGTAGGATGTTTAGTGACATTCCTGGTGCCTATCCACTGGAGGCCTGTAGCACCGTCCACCTAACTGTGACAACTAAAAATGTCTCCAGATACCACCAAGTGTTTTCTGGAAGATGAAACTGTCCCTGGTTGAGAACCAGTGGTCTGTATTCAAAGTTAAAGGATTTTATTTCCCTTTTTCTTTTCATTAGGATATGAAAGCGTTCTTTTTGCACATGACAGCATGTTCTTGCATCCGTATGTATTGTAATCCATGCTACATTCTATTTCAGGGTTGAAAAATACCGGCCACAGACACTGAACGATCTGATTTCTCATCAGGACATTCTGAGTACCAGTAAGCATCCGTGTGTCAGTTGCTGTCATTCTAGTTGGAGGACCTGTATAAATTTCTTGGTGATGTCTCTGCTGAGTAATAACCTTGAAGTATCTGACTGAGCTTTATGGAATGTTGCTGTAAGAGCCGAGTCCCTTCAGATTTTTCATTGTTGTGTCTGCCTCTCCTTTGAACGTGGGCTTGAAGTGCATTCGAGCCAACTCAAGGGCCCAGGTGAATGAGGCAACTCTTGGACACTGACGGGGGGTCTCTCTTTCTTCCCGATCCTCAGTTCAGAAATTTATTAGTGAAGACCGCCTGCCGCACCTGCTTCTCTATGGTCCTCCAGGGACAGGAAAGACCTCCACCATCCTGGCCTGTGCAAAACAGCTGTACAAAGATAAGGAATTTGGCTCCATGGTCTTGGAGGTAAGTAAGAGGATTCTTCTCACTCTGCAAAGAACTCGAGTCTCTTAGTTCTCTTAGATTTGTCTTACTTTACAAGTAAGTTGCTGTGCTGGAGGTGGGGAAAGAAATAGACAAAATATCTCGAGCGGCTTTTGTCTAGAGTCGACGTTTGGGCCTGGATGGGCATTAGCTAGAGGGCAGTGGTAGGGCTGGATATTTTTCTTTGCCTTTGCCAACTTACACGCAAACACTCTGGGGTCCCTCAGTGAGTGGTCACTTGGTGGCTTGCTGTCTTTGACGTGCCCATCCAGAGTTCTTCCCCGTGTGGCTCCCTCCCGTCCTTGCGCTGGAAGGCTGAATTATCTTGACTACAGGCTGCCTTGTCCTTTGGCTCCCCCTGGTTACGTTTGGCCAATAGGGGCCCTGGCAGGAGTTGGGAGAACGGTGCCTGGTTCTGTCCTGGGGGGGGGGGGGTCACCACAGGCTGACAGCATCCCCACCTGCTGGGCAGATCCCACAGCCTTCTCCAGCTGCCAGCACCACTCCCCTACTCACCTCTTAAGACCTGGGGTTGGTAGTGGGCCCCAGCAGTTGCAGAGGAGTTGCACAGCTCTTGTGGTTTCCCCACCCCCCCCACCGTTTCAAATCTCTCTACATGTCATTCTCTTCAAATACCTGAACTTGTGTATGCCATCTGTTTGCTCTGAGAGTAGACTGATACCCTTAGATTACAAAATTGCAAATATTGTCTATTGCAAGAAAAAAATGTCTAACTAATTTTTTCATTATAGATCTTAGAACCTTACTGCCACCAGTGTTCTTCCTTCAGTATGTTAAAGACTGGTAACTTCTGGGTTGCTCTGGGTTGTGGTGGCTCAAATCAGCATGATTCTGTTCATGCCAGAGGTGCTGTTCACTGTGGTCAGGCCAGTGAGTTACTCCGCCAGAGTATGTCAGTGGTTGTCCTCCAGTGCGGAAGGAAATACAGTCATTTGCCTTCCAGAACGTAATGTAATGGTGTAGTGAGTTGTGAGTTTTAAATACAATTGTGATCTTGGTTTTTAATAGTGTTTATTTCATACTGTCGTTAGACCTAAAGACCTAGCTTGCCGAGCTGGAGGGATGAAAAGATAAATAAGTTCGTAGATGACATACAAATATGTTTCTAATTTACTCTGGCTTCTCTCTCCCGCATTAGCTGAATGCTTCAGATGACCGAGGAATAGATATCGTTCGCGGACCCATCCTGAGCTTTGCTAGCACAAGGACAATATTTAAGTAAGAATTATTTGCATAATTTCTCTCCCTAGAGACTCTGATCAGTGAGATGACAGAGCTTTATTTTTTTAATCCTCCCCTTTGCTTGTCTGTAAAGGTACAAAATGACTTCACCAAAAGTAGCTATGAAAAAGAGGTACAAAGATGCTAGTAAGAAATAATTCCAAAATAAAATATGACCTAAGTCTATATTAGCAGGTTGTTTGGGAAGCATTAACTTCATTTGATTAGTTAACCAAAAACTGTTTATATCCTAAGACCAGATGAGCTAGTTTGAATTTGAACAAAAATGAATTGAGATCGGGAGGGATCATGGGGAGGTGGTAAACAAAGGGAAAGATGAAAAGACAGGCATGCGTGAGGGCGAAGGTGGTGGAGAGAAGCAGAGCCAGGCCCGAGGAACAGGACACCATGTGTGCACAGAAGAAAGGTGAATGTGCCAGGGGGAACAATGTAACAAAAATGCCCAAGTCAGACCTCAGTTCCTCTAAGAGTGACAGGCATGTCTATCTGTGTGACCACAGATGCCTGCTGTGCTCAGGTCGAGGAGGAATGGACTCTCTGAGGCAGGGCCTGATGGCACAGCCTGAAGGCACAACTTCTGGTTCGGCCCAGAAGTGGAGGTGAGATTGAAGACCTCTTCAGATGGTGCCATTTGTTTTCCTAGGAAAGGCTTCAAACTAGTGATCCTGGATGAAGCGGACGCCATGACGCAGGATGCCCAGAACGCCTTGAGGAGAGGTAGGAAGCGCTCCCGGGAATGGTGTGTTGGTTCAGGAGTGCCTTCGAGAGAGAATTAGGCTCTTGGGACATGAGACATGCGGTGGCTTGTTGACCGATTTCATCTTCTGGCCCAGAGAAATCTGCTGACCTTTCTGTATCCCACCCGACGATCTAGACCAAAGCTCTTGGTACTGGGGGTTTCCCCTTTCAGCAGCTGAAGGCCCTGGTGGGACTTTAAGTCTGACCAGACAGTGGTGTCCCATCCTCTTCCCTGGGGTTCAATGTGGGGTTGGGAATTTGTAGGGTTTTTTGTTTTTGTTTTTGTTTTAAGATTTTATTTATTTCTCAGAAAGAGAGAGAGAGAGAGCACAAGCAGGCAAAGTCAGAGAGAGAAGCAAGCTCCCTGCTGAGCAAGGATCCCGATACAGGACTCGATCCCAGGACCCTGGGATCATGACCTGAGCTGAAGGCAGCAGCTTAACCAACTGAGCCACCCAGGCGTCCTGGGAATTTGTAGTCTTAGAATGGGGGGTGGTAGATATGGAAAGTCTGTTGTTCCTAAACTCCTGGGTAGAACTTTCTGCTCTTGGTACCCTAAGGTAGACAGTAGCCAGGAAAATAATTCTGGAAACGTAGTCACACTCAGAAAGTTGACATGACTTCTGTATTTGCCGAGGGGCTGATCTGGCAGGGAAGGAGAGTAACAGATGAGTTGTCTATCTTAGGGCCCTGGTGCAGTGGATTTCTTTGAAAGGACACTGGTAATCTCTCTCGTTAAGATTCTGAGGTAATCAGCTAGGAGACAGGAACGGTCTTGCGGAGTTGGGAGAAGGAGTGGGTTTAAGGGGAGGAGGAGGACAGTTAGAGTGTCTTCTGATCTTAAAAGCTTTGGCAGCCTTTCTTCAGCATTTGCTCTGCACAGCGACTGTCAGTCTGGGCAGATCCCCGTGCGAGAACATTGGGTAACTACAGAACACACCCGGTGTTTCCTAAGCTTGCTGAATTCGACTAGCGCTCTGTCGAATGTTCTAAGGCTTCGAGACAGAGTCCACTGGGAAGTCCACAACAAGCCACCCCCTCGCCCCCATTAGAAGGTGGGGCGTCATCAACCTGCCAGGTGGAGTTTTATGCAAAAGGACAAAAATACTGGATTTCGTAGCGCCGCAGATTAGGATGGCAAGGATGCCAGAATCATGGCACCTTAGAAGGAAGGGACACATTTTATAAAATCTCATTGAAGTGGCATGGCTGGCTTCCAGTCCTGGCCACCCCAGCCACAGCCCCTCGCTCCCACAGCGCCCTGACCTGTGGACGGCCTCTGCTCGTGCATGTGAGCATGGAAGAGTGCGGGGCCTCCAGGGCTCTGGAAGGCTCAGTACGGACAGGAGCTGGTTTTCTTTTTTCTTGCCAGTGATTGAGAAATTCACGGAAAATACCAGATTCTGCCTCATCTGTAACTACCTGTCAAAGATCATCCCCGCCCTGCAGTCCCGGTGTACAAGGTTCCGATTCGGCCCCCTGACTCCTGAACTCATGGTCCCCCGCCTGGAACACGTCATAGAAGAAGAGAAGTAAGTACAGGGGAAAGCAGGAAAGCCAAGGGCCTTGGGGACTGGGAGGCAGGGCCCTGGGCTGGCTGGCGGGTTTACAGTCGAAGGTGATGAGGCGTGTTAAGAGCTAAGGAGGGTGCCTGGCCCAGAGTCAGCATCGGGGTCTGTGAGCTGCTGGCCCCCGGCGTCTCACGGACAGCCTTCACAGGAGGCACTTGGTTCTTCTCTTGATTCCATCCTCCTCCCCTGGAAGCTGTCCCGACTTCCTCCTACTCTTCTTTTGTCATTGGCAACTGCGTGCTGCCAGAGTCCCTTCTGCTAAGATGCCTCCAGCCTTTTGGGACTAGAAGGGAAGGTACTGAGACATTACCTTCTGTCTAACCAGTTGCCAAGCCCGTAGCCAGCCCAAGCTGCTGCTTTTTGAAGCGGGGTGCTCTGCCTCCGTGACCACAGCTCTCGCCAGCGCACTTGCCTCTCAGAACAGAATTCAAAGCCAGTTGCTCAACACAGCAATGCTTGGTCCTCGGTGAGGGTCTTTCCCGACTCGGGGTGGGTGGTCACTGCTAATGTGAAGCCCACAGCCCTGAAGAACCAGAGCGCATTCGAGATCCCCCACCGATCGGGAGAGTACTGTTAACTGTGTCCTTCCCTTTTTTCTTCATTATTTCAAAGCCTTAGTCGCTCCCTTGGTGAATGCTCGTGCTTTCTGAGGGCCTCTTACTTCCTCCTGCCTCATTGCTTTCAGAGTGGACCTGAGTGAGGACGGGATGAAAGCACTTGTGACCCTTTCCAGCGGAGACATGCGAAGGGCTCTGAACATTCTGCAGGTACGGTGCCGCTGGAGCAGATCTCGAGCTGCCACTTTGGAAGCGGTTTTCGAGAAAGACAAAAGCAGTAGCACAGCCAACCTGTAAATTCAGAAATCGAGAAACGGGTAGGATCTCGATCTCATCATGTACCACTGATTTCCCCCCACCTTTGGGTTTTGAGTAACTGAAAGACTAATGTGCCGCAAACCAGGGAAAGCGAGGGACGGGCTCTGGAGCCGGAACACCGGCTGGGCTGCCTCAGCTCCCTCCTGACCCGCCTGCAGCGCGGTGGCCGCTGTGACAGTCACGATTCTGCCCCCTCCGTCTGCACAGAGCACCAACATGGCCTTCGGGAAGGTGACGGAGGAGACGGTCTACACGTGCACCGGGCACCCCCTCAAGTCCGACATTGCCAACATTCTGGATTGGATGTTGAATCAAGACTTCACCACGGCCTACAGAAGTATCCTTCCTCACGTCGTGCTCATGGTGCATGTACCTGAGGCCTGAGCCTGGCCCAGGAGCCCCGGCCACAGCCAGCACCCATACCCCGCTGGCCAGAGACGGCGGCTGCTCGTGGGGCTGGTCCGCTTGCTGAGGGAACACATGTCTGGGGGTGGAGCGGGTCCTCGTCTTTAAGGCCCTCACGTTCTTCCCGAAGGAGTCTGACGTGGGTACAGCTTGAGGCCCCCTTGCTTGCGGATGCGAGCAGCAGGACAGCCTTGGCGCTGGGTCTGGCAGATGTGCTCATTCTTTTTTTTTTTTTATAAGATTTTATTTGTTTGACCGATAAAGATCACAAGTAGGCAGAGAGGCAGGCAGAGAGGGAGGGGGAAGCAGGCTCCCTGCCGAGCAGAGAGCCCGATGCCCGGCTCGATCCTAGGACTCTGAGATCATGACCTGAGTGGAAGGCAGAGTCTTAACCCACTGAGCCACCCAGGCGCCCCAGATGTGATCATTCCTGAGTGGCCAGCATTACTCTGGTTCTGCTGTGAGATTTAAAGCCAGGGGCGGTGAGAGGAGGCCTTCTGGGGGATGCATTCGGCTCTGTCCTCTACTGGGCAGAGACAGTTCTATCAGAAAGGCCTTGTGGAAGATGAAAACCTAGGACAGGTTACAATTGGAGCCCACCTGACACAGCTAGATTCAGACATCACGTTGGGGTGAGAAGCTTTCCCAGAAGTCACCCCCAACGGGCTTGGGATTCAAATTGCCGTGCGGTGTGTTTGCTCCAGAACCCGGCCCTTTGCCTTAAACTGTTCCTCTCTAGATATTATGGAGTTGAAGACGCTGAAGGGGTTGGCGCTCCATGACATCCTGACCGAGATCCACCTGTTCGTGCACAGAGGTAACTCAGTCTTCCCCAGCTGAGAAGCTGCGGGAGGCGGCCAGCGGGGTGGGTTAAGGGCGGGAGCGAGGGAACACGAGGCTTCACTTTTGAAGCAGAGAAACGGGAATGAAGCATAAACCTGGCCCCCCAGTTTTTGTTTTCTCTTGTTGCTATTTAAAACTTTGTTCCAAAAGGTATTTGTTCCAGGGTATTTTCCCCCAAAAGGGAATAAAGAGGAGGAACGTGTGTCTAGGGCATAAAGCAGAGCAGTCTGAACTAAACCGTCTTTAAATTCCATACTCTGCCGTATCTTCTGTACAGAGACCAGGTTTTCAACCTTGGCAGCACGGAGGAATCACCCAGGCCAATCACTTAGCCGTTTGGGGGCATCCGGATTTTCTCAGGCTCCCGGGTGACCTGCCGTGCAGCCTCCTCGGGGCAGCTCTTCCCCCCGCGGCAGCTAACTGCCAACAGTGGGGTCCGCGAATGTTCTGCCCGTGCCTCTCAGGGCCTCACCCAGGCCAGCTGACCGAGAATGTGGTCGGCTGGAGCCCCGCTCTGCACTTGGATTGTGGAAAATGAGTAGGAATAGATTTAAAGATCAATGATTTGTTTTTAAAATTGGCAGAACAAGTGAGAACTTGGCTTTCCCGTTCACTCCTAGAGCTGCCCCGTTCCTAAAGCAGCGTCCATACCTCTTCTGGGTTCTTGTGGTCACTTTGGAACTTGCTTGCAAAATGGGTAAAAACTGAAGACTCATCCAGTGTTCACTTCCTTAGAGGTGGCAGCTAGTGACCTGATGCCTCCAGACACCTTTAGTGTCCCCTGATGTTTAAGCTCATAACTGTCGTGGGACTTTTTTTTTATTGTATTAGGGAATGGCAGACCCTCACTCATTTGAATTTGTTTCTCCCCACAGTTGACTTTCCATCTTCAGTTCGAGTGCATTTATTGGCCAAAATGGCAGACATAGAGTGAGTGCTTCCTGATTTTGATTCCTTTCCTTTTTTTACTCTGTTGTGCATTTTTTCTACCTGTCTGGTTCCAACTTTGTCATTCCTACGTGGCATAATCTAGTTTTTGGTGGGAGCACTGAAACAAACACGGGAAGGGTCTGATTTGCTTGTTAAATATACGAATGAACACAAGGACAGGTTTGGCTCAGTAACATGTTGGAGATAAAGGCCTCTCCTTAGACCTCAAAGGCTTGGTCCACATTGGTTCGAGAAGTGCCGTTACCTGGACGGCCCACTTCAGTTCCAGCATCGAGGTCATTTGGGGAGGAGCAGCTGCCCAGCTGTTATTAAAGCCTTTTGCTGTAACAAAGCATATTGGGAGGCAAAGTAAACACAAACTCCATGTTCCACTTTGCCTGGTTTCATAAACAGTCATTAGCCCCCAGTGAAGCTGGCAGCAGTCATGTAAGTGGGCAGAAGCATTGGGTTCAAAACAGACGCCAGCATGGGACCAACTGTGATTGGCTATCATGGGCTCTCACATGCACACGAGGTCACTTCTCCCTACGTGACAAACTTCATGATTTTGCTTTCACTGGCTGGGCCCTGGAAGGGTGGCAAGATGAGTCACCAGTGTCCTGCTTTACTAACTAGGCCACAGAACCACAGTCCATCATTCTTGCAAGTGAATTAAGGAAATCTCTCAGTGCATTTTGTGAGTGAAGAAATAAATCCTTATCACTTCAGTTCCGCATATGTCTAGATAGCTAGCACAAAGTTCAGAACACTGCCATTGATAACTTTTTTTTAAATTTAATTTTTCCTTACCAGCTTGAGTGGAGTTGATAAATGGAGTGTTCAGGGCAGAGAGGAAAATGTCAGGGGACACCAAAGATGACCGGCCTGTTCTCGTTCTCTTGTCAAGAGGCAGCGGACCACGATACTCTATTCTCACCTTTTGTTTGATTTCTTTTAGGTACAGACTCTCTGTAGGCACCAACGAGAAGATTCAGCTGAGTTCCCTCATTGCTGCTTTCCAGGTCACCAGGGACCTGATTGTCACAGAGGCCTGAACACCGAGCCTGTTCGCAGCGATTCGCGGGCCTCGCAGACACCAGCCGGTGGGACTGAATTAACAGCTGGGCACGAACGCCACGACCGCCCCAAGCTTTGGGAAACTCTGTTCCCGGCGTGGTTGGGCCAAGGTTCAGAAAGTAGCGTTTGAGGCCGGGCAGAGCAGGTAAAGAACAGTTGGAACGCCCAGCTCTCTGCTACACTGCCCACTTGTGTTTTATAGGGAAAAAGAAAGCGCAATGAGCTTTTTGGGGGTTTTTTTCTTTTGTTTTTTAAAGCCTTAAGGCTTTCACCTTTCAGTTGCTTGGAAGGCAGGAAATCGGCCTGCTCCATTTTGGTCTAGAACCTAGGGTTTCCCAACCGCCCGTGGGGCAGCGTCTTCTAACTCCAGGTGAACAGAGGAGCCCCATGTGGAAGTGCACAGATCTCAATGGGGGCGCGGTCTCCGGATCTGCTCTGAGTAGGTGTCAAAGAAGAAAAAGAGATGTGCATCGATTTCTGGCCCAAACTGCTGTACTCTTATAAATGGGCTCAGCTGTCTTACTTTAAAATTGTCTTTTTATTTCTCCTCTACTAGCACATTCCTAATTGTGGCAGGGACAGCAGGGGTAGGGACCTGGGCTTCTGTCAGTGTGGGCGGGGCAGGTGCGCTGGGGCTGGGCTCCAAACCCACCCCCCAACCACCACCAATGCGGGAAGGACAGGGCCCCGCGGACAGGGTGGCAGTCGCTCTTGCAGCAAACAGGCTGCCTTTGTTGATAACATTCTTTTCGGTAAAAATAAAGCAGCTTGCATGCTGGCTGTTAAGGAGCGATTCTTCCCTTCCCCAGTCAGAAAGACACTGACTTACTCAACTTGCCTGTATGTGAGATCCTCCCCCCACCCCCATGTCACAGATCAAGCTTCCTTCGGAGGCCGCTCTCTCTGAAGGTGTCAGCTTCTCAGACTATCAAAAGGGAGAGATTGGTTATTTCCCACATCCACGGACACCTCGCTCCCTGAGGTCCCCGAGCAAAGTCTGAAGCTAACGGCCAGAGGGGGCCTCAGGGAAGCCACCCAGAACCTCTTGGGCTGCGCCGGGACGTTCAAGATGACCCCAAGGAGTAAAACTGGCCCCAGCCGTTCCCCACTGTCCTCACTTGTTTTAAAAGGTCGTATTTTTTTCTTCTTAGTGGAAAAAATGAAACAGCCAAAAGCTTTTTTTAACTTTTCCTTCAACGAAAGCCTTTCATCTCGAAAAGAAATGTTTTTTTTTCTCCAGCAACAAAGGCGGTAGAGGAGACGCTTGTACTTTTGCGACAAGTTTTATCACGTTAACACTGGCCTCCACAAAGCACCTAGTAAGAAAGCCAAAGGATAAGATGTTGCATTTCTTTTAAAATAATTTAAAATATATTAAATTTTCCAAAGGCAGATTTCATTGCAATGAGGTGTCTTGATCAGAGAACTACACGCTGCTGAAGGAGAACAGTACTTTCAAGGAGCTATTTTTGTTAAGGGGGAAGAGGTGAAACGGGCTGACTTGTCCGATGAGGCAAAGCAGCAAAGTCAGACCTCAGACGCGACAGTCGGCCAAAGGGGCGACAACACCAATTCTCTACGCCACGAAGAAGAGACATCTTCACAACCGTTCGACTTAAGAACTATGGTTTTTAGATACCAGAGAGGAAAACACAGTTGTACCTTAACATCTGTTGAGAAAATACAAATAAATAGGCTACCACCAGCAAACCACCGACAACTCGGTCGCCATTTTAGACAGTCATGCAGTTGAGGAATACGTCCTTGTGTAACCGGACACACGCGTTTGTCATCTCCTGCACATGCACACCACTGCTTATCCAAAAAAAAAAAAAAGCCATTTATAGTGTATCAGTCAGGAGCACAGCCTCTGAGTCACCTGTAACTTCGCGAATACCTCACGGCCGACGGCTCCATGAAAACCTGGTCCTGCTGGTCAGAGGGGAGCTCGAGGAAGGAAAGCACTTGCCACCAGCAAAGCCACTCTGACACAGCGGGAGAGAACTTTCCACAATGTCACCACCGCATCTGAAACACGACAGTGACAAGTACCAGGCAGAAGCCAACACTTGCCCACTTGCCAGTCAAGGGAATGATCCACCCAACAGAGAGGCTCTCGAGGCCTGGTTACTCTGCTTATCAAATCAACATGAGTCATGCACTCTGGGTCGAAAGGATTTTAGAAAGTGTTTGACGCAGCCGTTTCTAAGTGGGCTGAGGATCTGGGGTTAGGCTCTGCCACCATGGAGCTGGGATCCACCCCCCCGACTGACTGCCACAGGTCACGCAGGAAAAACCTGGATGACTAGTCCACCGGAAGCTGCTTTTGCTCTATTCTGGTCACCAAGTCAAAGAGAAATTCTATTTCAATCCAAGACCAGCCATTTGGCCCATTGTTCCAGCTGTTCCTCTGCCAGGAAGCTTGATCCTGCTACTAGAAAACAAGTAAGACTATGGCGCATGGCTTAAAAAGTCCTGTATGTGAGGAACTCTTTCATTTTCTTGGGGATCGGCAGTGCTAGCACTTGGTAGGTGGTCAGGAAACTTCGAAGGGCTTTCCGGCATAAGTGCTTCAGTGAGGACAGGACCCGAGGAGCCGTCCAGAACTGGACATGGCCATCCCTTGTCCTGAAATGGAACAAAAACCGACGCTTTAAGAGAGACCTTAGAAACACATGTTTTCCCAGTGAGGGATACTAATGTTTCTACTCTCACTTGCATTAGCAGGACACACCCGGGGAGTGCGACGCGCGGCCCTCAGATGCAATCCTGATGGTCGAAATCGATGTAAAGGGTGTGATGCTGAATAATTCAGGCCGCTGAAAGGATCAGAAGGACTCAAGACGCCTCTGATACCCACGTGCTACCTGTGAGCTCGGCCCCTTCTGAATCACACCATGAGTTCAAATGCAACAGAGGGAAGAGTGCCACCTCCTGAATTATAAATGCTCCCCACCAAGGTAGTCTCTGCCCTAAATGGTTTCCCAGAAATTCTGCATCATCCCGACTCAGGCGTCTTTGTGGACGTGGCCCATTAAGTGGCATGAGTCATAACTCTTTCATTACTCTTAGATTAACTATTAAGAGTAAATGATAACCTATCCTGGCAGAATAAAATATTAGAATTTTATGTGATTTCCTTAAAGGCTTCATCATAGGCAAGAACATTCTAGAGGCCTGCTTTCCTTAAAAAGCTAGCCGGTACACTCAGCAGAAACTGCTCCCCATCTGCTCAGCTATCAGACACATACCCTGTGGCGATAACTCCACCATGTGGAAAAAATGTGCAGCAAAGACCATTGGTCATAGGAGCAAATGCGATTGGAGTTTTCAGTTCCAGGGCCCAGATCCTGAGGAGTCTGGACGAGAGAGAAGAGAAACACTGGCACGTTAGTAGCCGTGGGGCCAGCTCCAGAGGGGGATGCTACAGTTACTTGCGGGGACTTGCTCTGAGGCCACACCCTCAGATGTCTCTTTGTTACCTGTCATCTGCCACCGTGGCGAGGTACAGGCCTTCGGGAGAGAAGCACACAGATCTCAGGGAGCTGATGTGCACATCACTGTCATCCATTGGGGGGTCAAGCTGGGTGTGGCTGTGGAAGAAGAAAGAGGACGGTCGGCCTGGGGTGATGGCTACTCTCCACCCTCCGTGTCCTCACGCCAGTGCTGGGGCTATGATAAGCTCAAAGACCCGTCCTTACCCCCTCTGGAAAACCTCAGGAAAAGCAGACTAGGAGAAAAAAAAAAAAATGCATTTCCTAAGTGTCTGGCAGAAGGGGCTGAAGGGTTACTCACACTCCCTGTGCTCATTTCCTTATGCAAAGTAGGTCAGCCCTCACTTTAATGCTGCGGTACAAACTGAAAGTCTTTTCTTGGCTGAGATACATGATAATTATAGGCTACCTATTATTTGCTTCAGAAAACAACAGAGACAAAGAGAAAAAGATGCAAGTTTGTAAGAACATTGAAAATTCATTTTGGAAATTCCAGTTTCGGTAAGAGGATTGTTCTGAACTTGCTACTACAGTTATTAGTAAATGGAAAGAAAGAATCACTTTGAGGTTTCATGAACGCTGAATCCAGAGAAGTTCACACAGCCTCCTACATCGGGAGCCCCGAAGGCCCTCGGGTCTAAACTGAGAATCTAAGTGACAAAGAAGCGCCACAGCATGAGCTCCCCATGCCTTTCAACCAGCACCCCCCGCCCCTGCCTCCCCCGCCCTGGACCCTGCGCGGGCCATGCCTAACCCAAGGCAGCTTTCCCATCAGTTCCCCCGCAACAAGGTCCGAAGGAGAAACCCCGTCCTTACTGGAGTAACCTCAGCCTCTCGCCAGTATAGGGGTCCCACATGATCACGTTGGTGTCGTAAGAGGCCGTGACGAGCAAGGCAGAGTCGGGGGAGAAGTCACAAGAGACAACACTGCTTTGGTGGCCTTCTAGCTTCCGGATTAATGTGTAGGACCGCATGCTCCACAGAAACACCTGTGCAAGGGAACAGGTGCCCAGTGAGGGGCAGCAACAACGCATAGTGAGTGAAGGACACGGCAACGCCAGGCGAAGCCAAGCTCCCCCCCGCCCCGCTTTCATACCGCTCTCCCAGAACGCATCACAGGGGCTTGGGGAAAGCTCCAGGTCTGAATTCTCGAGGCACCTGACCAGTGCACAAGTTCAAGGAGCCTGGTCTAAGGGAGAAGAAACCAGCCTCAGGAAGTCTACGGGCTGAAATGTATCCAGAGGCTTCTCAGTTCTGCTTCTGAGCCCTGTTTGCAAAATCACAGTGTGTGCCGATAAAGCACTATGTGGTCCTTTTAGTTAAAAGCAAAAACAGGGGTCAGAGGTGAGCTGCCGGGCTTCCAACAAAGCCGTGGCACCTTGCCAAGCCATTTTATACCATGTGTTCACAGAACGGTGGGAACCTGCCCCACAGCTGTACATACGTCTGACACAGTTCACCTGAAATATTTTTGAGAATCATGAAAAACGGGATTTTATTTTGTTCCCTTGAAAACACACCGTCACGTAGTTCCAAACCCCCAATGAATGATTAACCACCCGGGCTGTCCTACACAGTGAACTCTTCACTTTCTGAGTCAGTCGCAGCAAAGCGCTCGATGCAGATGTGAGATCAGACACACACACGCTGTTCCTGGCTTGTTCTTGGGTTTATAATACTTTCTTAAACGACAGGCTGGATTTCAGCAAAGTTCAACAAGTAACCGTACATTCTGATTTGAAATGGAAATCCCCATTACCCAGGTTCACATTAAATGGCTCAAAGGAGGGAAATTTGGATCCATACAGGGGGCTGCAACTTTTAAAATCTGAGACTCCAAGGGGAAAGGAAATATTTTTTTTTTTTTTAAGATTTTATTTATTTATTTCACAGAGAGAGAGATCACAAGTAGGCAGAGAGGCAGGCAGAGAGAGAGAGAGAGAGGAGGAAGCAGGTTCTCCGCTGAGCAGAGAGCCCGATGCAGGACTCGATTCCAGGACCCTGAGATCATGACCTGAGCCAAAGGCAGCGGCTTAACCCACTGAGCCACCCAGGCGCCCCGGGGAAAGGAAATCTTAAAAGCACACCTTTACCATGTTGTAAAGGCAAGCAACCCTCCTCCAGGGATGAGGGCTTCACCTCTCTTGTGGTTTGTGTCCACACGCAAATCAAAAGGGGGACAGCCCTGCCCAACAGCATGCCTCCTGCACAGGCTGATCTGGAGGCACCAGCCTTATTTACCCCGTTCAGACCGCCCGGGCTCACTGCGCTCGGGCAACGATGGAG